TTCGACCAATGAAATAACTTGTTCTACTTTCACAGGAACCTGTTATTGTTTCTCATATCAGAATAAATACTTCACTCAAGGTTTCGACAATGTCTCCTCTCGTAGATCTAACTTCTAACCAGATCAGTAACAGATTCAACATTAAACCAGCCTCAGGCTCAATGTTTTTTCGGGTGAACCCAGCAGCGACCTCACGCTGTGTCCGTCCCTCTCTCCACCGCAGGCCTTGTACGAGCGCTGTGACCGGCTGAGGCCCAGCCTGTTCCGTCTGGCCAGCGACACGACGGACGACGACGCTGCTCTGGCGCAGGTCCTGGCGGCCAACGACGATATTACGCTCGTAGTTAACGCCTACAAAGACCAGGTGGGGAAAAGAGAGTCCAACGGTGGAAGAGAGAGAAGAAGCGAAGAAGAAGCGAGGAGTAAAAACAGCGGTAGGTCTCGTCCAGGAAAAGACTTTGACCTCGTGTTTGTTTGTTCGTCTCCTTCGTTCTGCTGGTATTTGATGCTTCTTCTTCTTCTTCTTCTTCTTGCTCCTCCAGCTCCTCCGAGTCCCAGAGAGATTAAATGTTACCACCTCATCGACCTGTCGGTTCTAGATTCTCCTCAGACTCACAGAAAATCTGATTCACCTCCGTCCTTTGACTCTTCTCCTCTGTATCTCTCCTCTCACCTGGACAACACCTCACACCCTGTACCCGACTCCTCGGACTCAGGTAACGCTCCAGTCGAGCCTCCTTCTCGTTTGTTCTCAGGGAGACTTTTGAAAATGATTCCTGACGTTTTGTCTCCTGATTACAGAGTTTGATAAAAAGGCCTCGAAACAGGAGACCACGAAGTCGTATTATGAGGAAGTGATGCAGGTGAGCTTTAAGTTGACAGTTTATGAATGAAGATTTTATCTGGAGGAGACGATAACACAGTTTATCGTCCGTCAGCTTAATGAAGATGTTCAGAAGAGGAACGCCGAGCAGAGCGGAGGGAGAGGACCTCTGCTGAGAGCTCGAGGATGTGGAGGCAGCAGCATCGGATCGAACGGGACAAACACTTGGTGAGGATGTAGACTGGAGAGTTCTGACGTCCTCATAGACGTGAGGGGAATTAGTTTTAGATCAGGACGTTCACCATCACAGACAAACACACACACACTCTGCTTCTGCTTGATTTTCTTGTAAATAAAACATTTGGCATTTGTCTCTTCTCTCCTTGATTTATTTTCCATCAGTGAATTGACTCTTTCTCTTTCCCCGTCAGGTCTTTCTCTCAAAATCAACAGTTCAGTGGCTCAGGATCAAATTACAAGACACCAACTGAAGTGTCCGCAGAGACAGTTTGTCCTCCACTGCTACTGAAACACGTCTTCGTGCCAATGGACACCATCAAATCCAGTTCGTCTACGAACATCATCAAATTATAACTCATATGGATTTTTGCGTTTATTTGTAACATAGTGTTCCTAATCATCTGCGGTGATGTAATCTCGTCTCAGGTCAGCTGGAGCCGATCACTTTATTCGATCAGGGCGGCGTCCACATCTCTCTTCATTTTGCCAGAAACTCTCCGGTGGGTCATCCGGGTGTCGCTGTGGTCGTCATCTCCGCCGTGAACACGTCCACCCTCGACGTTAGAGACTTCCTGTTTCAAGCTGCTGTTCCCAAGGTAACACACTCTGGTCACAGTGGTGTGGTTTCACATTAAAGTTTCACATCAGCAGGTTTAAGACTGTGATGACTGTGATGTGTATATATACACACATATATATACTTCTCAATGTGTATGGACAGTTTATCGACATCATTTCATCTTGATGTGATACTGGTGCTCTCTGCTGGAGACCGGCCTCCACTTCGGACTTTACAGAGAAGGTGCAGTACGACGGGTGAGAAGAACAGAGACTCTGTGAGTTATTAACACTTGTGCTGTGTCTGTGTGCTGCAGACCATGTTGGTGAAACTTCAACCTGCCTCTGGGACGCACCTCCCTCCATACAACCCCCTCCTGCCTCCGCCTGCCACCTCCCAGGTCCTCCTGCTGGCCAATCCTCAGAAGGTACCAGACTGTTAGTCCCACAGTGGCGGAATTTCCCCTGATACAAAGGGGACTGTAAAAACAAAAAGTAATAAATGAGTAAACATGGAATATCAATATAAGAAAATAGATTTAATATGCAGAATGTGAACAGGAGATTTCTTTATTTCTTT